GGTTTTCTTAATTAATTATCTAGTACTTTTATCCTTAGAGATCTTTCTATATAGTAGCTATTTTAATTATAAACTCTAGGTCTTTATCCTAGATTTATTTAATTAACTCTTTTAAATCCTATATAACCTTAAGAGTATAAATATTCTTATTTTAGGTAGTAGCCTTAATAAGAGTATAAGAAGTTAAATAGTTATTAGTTAATCTTGTTGAATTATTCTAGTATATAGTAATATACTTAAGGTTATATTCTTTATAAGTATAAAGCTTTAATAGTATATTACTTAGCTCTTATTTATAGTTATTATAACCCTTAGTCCTTAGGGACTATATACTAACTATTTATTTATAAATTAGTCTAATAATATTTCTATTATTTAGCTATATTACTAAATAACTATTATATTATATAATATATTTATAGGGTTAGCCTTTCCCTTCTAATACTTGATAATAAACTTAAATAGTATTAATATAATAAGCTAATAAGCTTATTTATTATTTAGCTTTAGTTACTTTATAAAAGTCTATAAATTTATATAATCTAATAGTACTTTTATCTAATATAATATTTCTTTAGTATATTATTACTAATATCTAAAAAGATAAATAATAGTAAATAGTTCCTTATTAGATATAACCTAGGTAAGTTTAGCCTTAGTAAACTTTCTTAACTAGAAGATAACTAGATACTATTATCCTTTTTTATCTAGCTATAAGAGTATACTAGCTATACTATCCTAAGAGGTATTAGTTTCTATTTAAATAAGTAAGGCTAGGTTAAAGTATTATAATAATAAAGCTATCTAAAAGATAGTAATTAGTTATTAAAAAGCTAACATTTTAATAAAAGTAAACTTTACTAGTTTCAGCTTTCTCTCTTCTCTTATATCTTTAAGTAAATTAGTTAGGAGTAAGGCTATTAAAGAATGATCTCTAATAAAATACTAATAGAAGTTATAGAATCCTAGGAAGATTTAAATATTATAATAACTATAGGGTTCCTCCTATATAATAATAGCTTTAATATAGCTTATATCTATTAAGATATTATTAGTAGATATGATATAGCTAAGAAATTTAATATAGTTTTAATAAAAAATATACTTAGAAGCTTTAGTATATAACCTTACTTTTGTGATATCAACAGCTACGTCAGCTAGGTGATATGATCTATGAAACATCTATAGCAACATCTAGTGATTATTACTATATATATAATCATCTAGATCATTACATTCTTTAATAGTCTATGTAGAATCATAAAAGAGAGGTAGAATCCCTTTAATATTAGTGGGTCATATATGGGGTGGCTACAGGCCTAACCCCTACCCTTATATATTTTAAAGGATCCTCTCCTATTATAATAAATACTATTCCATCTAGTAGCATATCTAGATCAAGTAATTACTTAATACCTAATTCTAGGAAGGTTCAAAAGTTCATTAAGAATTTAATCTAGATCATAGTATAACTATAATATATAGTTATAACACCACTAAGAATATTATTAATAATATAATATTAATAATATAATATTAATAAAAGGGTTATACTTTTCATTCTTAAAGTAATAGATATATATCTAATTAATTACCTTTAACCTCCTTAGATTAATCTGGATACTAAAGATAATAAAGATTCTATTATAAGATATCTTTTAGCTCTGCCCTAATATAATATTATAATAGTAAGTATTATTAACTATTATTAATCTTCTAGAATATAATAGAGATGTGGTTAATATTATAACTATAAAGAGAGAAATAAATTTAGGTTATTAGAATTATCTTAATAAGTATAAATTAATATTAGTAATTATAATTTAGAATTATAACCTTAGTTTATTATCTTTCTTTATTAATAAAATAGATAATATTAAATCTATATCTTCTAGTATAGAGACCCCTTAAACCTAGTCTACTAGTAATAGTAATAGCTTTAAGGTAAGAATGGATTTAACTTTAATAATAATTTACCCTCACTACTTAGCATATAACTAATAAGAATAGTCAGGCTAAGCTAATATAGATATATAAATAACTTATTAAACTTCTCTATTAATAATATTATTATAATAATATTTATCTTTTAGATCTAAAAAGATAGCTAAAGAAGGACTAGCCTTATTAAGAATAAGTAAATTAATACTAGAATAATATTAGATTATATTATGTTTATTAACTATAAGATTACTAAAATAAGGAAGGCTAAAAGTATTATATCTACTCTTAAAGAAAGTTATTAAATTTAGAGTAAAAGTAGAGGGAGAGAAATATAATACTTTCTTTATAATCTTTAATTATATTAAAGTAGTAGGCCTAGATCTACTAAGTAAAAGCTTAGAAGTATTCTTATAAAGTATATATAATAATATAGGCTTAGTTTTAATAATCTTATTATTTATAAGAGGCTAGTTAGTAATGGTATTATCTTCTTTAGTTATAGTAAGTAATCTATCTTTTTTAAGTATAAGCCTGTCTTAGTTAGTATATATAATAATAAAAGAGAAGGGAGTCTAAATATATTAAAGTATATATCCTAGCTATAATTCTTATTAATATAATAGGAATATAAAGCTATCTTATTATTCTATATATAATTTATATATATCCTAGTAAAAAAACACCTAAACTTATTAGTTTATATATTCTAGTATTACTATATAGTAATAAAATATCCTTATATTATATATATATAAGACTTATATATATCTTAATATTTAAGCCCCTGATAGTAAAGGAGAGTAGTATTTTAATAAGTCTTAGATATAATTTTCTTAGTTATATTAGTATTATTTTAGAAAGCCTACTTAATTTTATAATAAGGATTAAGTAACTTTATAAGACTCTACTAAATCTTATTAAATATAAATAGAACTTCTTTTTATATAGCTATAACTATACCCTCTTAGTTTAGAATTATAATAATTATTAAGGTTAATAATAACTAACTAAGATAATACTAAATAAGTTAGAGAATATAAAAATAATTAAGAAACAAAATAGACTCTAATAGTCTATAAATTTAAATAAGTAATAACTTATTTTATAAATTTAGTATTATAGATTTCTATAAATATCCCCTAATATTAAAGATAGAAAAATTAAGAGTATTTATACTTATACTATTTATATTAGGAATAAATACTTATTTATATATTAATAATTATTAGTTAATTCTATCTTTATTAATTTTATTTATTTATTACTATATATATTAATAATACATACTATAATTCTTTTATCTCTTAATTAAAGTTATTAATTACTTAGATAACCTACTTATTATTACTAAATAAGCTAATCTAATTACACTCTTACTTATTATATAAAGAATATACTAAGCTATTACTAGGATTATTCTAAAGTAAGACTATAAAGAACTAATTAGTTAATCTTATAGATATTTAATAAAGAAATAATAATATTTAAATACTAGATATAGTAATTAATATCTCTTAATAATAATTAAATATAAATTATTATAATAGTAGATACTAACTAAGCCTCCTAACTCTTACTACTAACTAAGAACTCTATAGATTAAGTTTAGCCTAGATAGGGGAGGATATGATATTAATAACTATATTAGTAGATTAATATAATCTATAGGTATATATAGTAATTATTACTATATATATAATTATTTAGATCACTATATTCCTTAATAGCTTAGGTAGAAATATAAAAGGGGGAGGTGGAATCCCTTTAATACTAGGGGATATGTATAGGGTGGCCGCAGGCCTACCCCCTACCCTCACACATTTCAAAGGACCTCCTCCCATTACAATGAACAATATTCCACTAATTAATATAGTAAGCAGCTATGTCATATAACTATACCTCTTATTTATATACTTCTTTTTATATTCAGCATTTTAGCTGCTGTGGCCCTAGTTAGAACCCCTTAGTAATTTCTTATATCTAAATCTAGGTCATAGTCTCATAGATTTCAAGGCTTCTAGCGGCCTAGCCTGTGATAATAATTCTATAAGATTAGTTACTTCTTCCTAGACTAGGATTATTTAAGCTACTCTTTCTATAGTTAGGATTAGTTTATTTAGTTAGATTAGGGTCTTAGAAGAAGACCTAGTGCTAAGTATTATTTTTACAATATCCTAATAGACTAATTAGATTTTAAAGAGTAATTAGAACTATAAATTTAGCTATCAAGATCTAAGGTTAACTAGTAAGATTAGTATAGAGAGAGTAGGATAACTATATATTACCTAAGTAAGGAGAACTAGTCACTAAGTTATAGAATAGTAAGTTACAGAGATATCTATAACAGATTATATAACCTAGTAGCCTATTCTATCTATATTGGCTGCATACAATGGCTTTATAATCCACCATAGCTCTTAACATTAACTAAGGATGAGGGCTAGTTATTTAAAAGGGTAGAACTATTAAGCTAAAAAAAGCTACTAAACATAAGATAGAGGCCTAGGATTGGAAAAATATAGTTTCTATAACTTAAAGAAGTATAGTCTTAGAGAAGGTAGAGACATATTAAGTATTATAATTATGGTACTTGGTAGTAAGGGCTATATTATAGCTAGGTACCCTGAGCAGTAAAAGTTAATATAAGAGATAAGAAGTTAAAAACTAGATAATATACTACTATATATAACTATAGCACTAGACCTAAATGAGAGATATATAAATACTATATCTGTAGAGACTGGAGCCTGTATGTTTATTCTCTATCCATATCATCATTGATATATATACATTAAAAGAAGACAATTAAAAAATAAAACAGTAAATTATATCAGAACACCAAAAATAATGAATGAGATGGGATGGGCTGCTAGGTTATAAGTTAGTTCATGAACCTAGCAACCACAGGCATCACACATATTATAAAAATGATATCAAAAGAGGGTTAAATGATGAGTCCCTCTCAAACCGGTGCTTATGACACAGGACCATAAAGCAGTTGGCATGCGTCCCAAGTAGGACAGGTAAAGACTGTCATGGTTTAATAACAGCAGTGCTCACTGAGCCTTTTTTATAATCTTGCCCTCCCTTCGGCGCTTGAGAGCTTCAGGCGTGTATTCAGTGTCGAGAAGATAATCCCACCACCGGAAGCTACTCGAATAGTTGCCAACAAATTTCTCATGGTGAAGATCATGGTGATCAGCTCCAGCCCAAAAAGGCAAGAAATGATGGAGACTCCAAGGGAACTCATAGCCGCTGTGCGCATCAATGGCCTGGAAGAGTCGTAGGACAATCCAGACATACATCGTAAAGATATGCAGGTCGCCAGTCAATGCACACCAAAGAATGGGGCATCCAACGGTCCCAAACCCGAGAATCATAACCTCAATAGGCGACGCATATTCGGCGGCCATACCGAAGGGTGCCGAATACTGGTGGTGGATTTTATGGATAGCCTTGTACAAAGGGCCCCAATGGAGGGCACGATGAGAGAAATAATGCCATGTATCCTCAAGAACAAAGAAAATGGCGATCTGGTACATCATGGTCCAAACAGAGGGAAAAGGAACCGACGTAGACAGACCGAAGAACTGAGCCATGGGGTGGAAAAGCCTGCGGACATACTGTTAGAAACATATAATGAAGCCCGGTTGAATTGAGACACCAACCAAATCTGCGGAAGTTCCACAGTGAAGTGGCTAAGAAGGACAAACTTGGCGCAATCCCATTGCTCTCTAAGTGAAGGAATTTTATTCTGAGTAGCCAAGTTAGGGCCTTGCCATAAGCGTTGAGATCGAATCCACTTACATTCTGAATTTTATAATTCTTAAACAAGCCCAAAGTGTCGATGAATATCCAGGGAAGAGAACGGCCGAAATAGACAATCTCATGCATCACAAACGACATGATGCCAGTTGCAAGGACATCATTTTGCATCCAGGCATACCATGCGGACCAAAGTCTCTCCACGACATTGAGATGTGCATTATGTCGGGAAACCTCCTCATATTGCTCCCAATAAGTCCCAGGAGACGTCGAGTATAGTGTTGAATTCCTGTACCTTGTCAGGACCAAAATGTGATCGGACCGAGTGACAGGGGAGGAGCAACTCACATTGTATTTTGATATCGCACCTGTATCCTGGTATGAGAGACGGCTGGGCGTTCAAATCTGTTCTTCCATCAATAAGAAAACAAGCAAACGGAGTTCGAGTTATGGTAGAATTATGGTTGAGGATGGTATTTCAGGAGGGAGAGCTAGTGGTTACTAAATGCGCCGGACGGCCGGCCAGGACATCCATTCCCGGGGTGGCGAGACTTTTCTTAACTTTTTCTGTTTAGGCTCGTAAAGTCATTATTATCGCCTAGCCCCTTCTCACCCCTGAGATCCAAAGCTCTCCATAACTGCTACTTTATTATTGGCTGTCCAAAAAGTTGAAGATTATCTAACCCTTTTAGGGCACTGCCTAGATTATAGCCAGTAAGAAACAAGTACCACAATCTCTGCGGAGTACCTTATTTTATTAATCCCTGTACTCGTCTATCATCAGAAATCTCTGTGCAGCTCTGCCTTATTATTTTCGGACCAAGACATAAATCCTTACATATCAAGTCATTATCTCTTTTTCATCTTCTTAAAAGTACAATGAGAGTCTTGCTGATATCTGGAGAGCAGAATAACTCTAATATCAATGAGACATTGAACACTACTGCCTCACAACCCAACTTGAATACACATCCATAGGTGAGATTCTTAGTCGTCGATTTCTTATACTCGATAGCACGATTAGTAGAGCACCTTTAGTATTCAACATCGGATTCCCTCCACTTGATCAGAGATTATCTCATAATTCCAGCGCTGGATAGCAGCACATTCACCTGTACTTGTAGGGTACTATCTAGGTACTGGAAGTTTGTAGTGTTTGCATTATCATAATAAGGCGGGCAGTCTAGTATGTATGACGCCATGCCGTCCTATCTTTTAAGCTGTGTTATTATGGCTGTAGTCTACATAACTCGCGGAGTTATTGCACCCACAGAGATACACTATGATCATCATAAATCGGTTTGTCACTTCTGCTGCGACCAGTCCTGAAATGTGCTCACAATCAGTAGTCACATTCATCACTTAAGCGCAGAGCTCGACAGACTGCAACAGAAAGTCAATGATGGTTTGCCTAGTCCTACCCATATACTATCTGAATACCCATATGAAGCTTCGAAGGATATAGCGACATTACTTAAATTGATCCAGTCGCTTTCTGTGCAATCTGTATCTCAATCGTTACTACGAGCCGATCAGGTTAGGGCTTTGATTTCCAAGTTCCCTGATTCCCTCCTCAAGGGACAGGAATTGCCCGATGAAAGTATCGCATATGTGCTGGATGTCTCGTGGATCATGGCTGCGAAGGCATTTTTGCAGGTTTTAGGCATAACCATCAATGTTCTTCTAGAACATACTCACAGTATTGGTGAAGAGGTGTTGTACTGGGCCGATGTCTCAGGATCAAATTGGTATACCGGAGCATACGCAGTACAGACGGCCCCTGGTCGACTATGGCGTTTCCTGGGACGGCCTCTTTTGTACGCGGAAGAGGGCGGTATCCGGAAAGCTGTCAACCCAACAGCATCTGTTTCGTGGGCCAGATTTTACGACATAGTGCGCCAATGCCTTGACCCACGCGCGATGCTTTCGCTGCGCGCAAGGCTGTTATCTTCATTTACTGCGCATAGGTCTGAGATTAGACAAAAATGCAAAGCTTTGGGAGCGATGCGAACGAGAAACGCCAGCGGCATCGGCCTTCTCATCGGGCAATGCTCCCTTCTCAAAACAGAAATTGACTCAGAGTCCGCCACTGATGACAGCTTGCGTAATGCTGTGCTCAGGGGTGTACTCACGTTGAAGGTTCTCTTGCAAAGGGTGGTACATGAAGGCACAGAATATGAGCTTGAGGAGAGAATTTTTACCGCAGTCGAAAGGGAAGTTGTTCGGTCTCAATCTGAGATGACAACATTCCCCCAGTCTCCCGAGTACGTTATCGAGCAGCTTTTCAATATACTGGATGAATTATTGCCAGATTATAGCGCCTCTTCAAGGCGGGCAATCAGCCACCATGGACGTCCCTCATGCTTGGTACGTTATTGGCTGCCGCTGTCAGTGGGGGTGCTTTCGACGAGCACTTTCCTGAGGTTGATAAGCAGTCGGCAGCACGAGCTCATAAGATGGATTTCCAACATCGGATCAACTGCCTGTGAATTTTGGGGTAATTGGGTCGTTGAGCCTACTCGGAGACTCATCGGGACTATTCGACATGACGAAAAGAGCGAGATTGCACTAATGAGTAAGAATAGTCTCGAGGCGGATAGGGCCAGCTTAGAGCGGATGGTGCTTGATTTTGTCCTCGATCGACCCGAATCTGAGAAAGAGCTTGGTGCGAAGCAGATTGACACCCTCACCGCGAGGATTCGAGAAGGTGATCTGACCCCAGTACTACGAGCGTACGAGAAAGACCTGCGGAAGCCCTTCATTGGAACTGTACGTGGTGATTTGGTACGGGCTCTTCTGATCCAGATTCAGAAAACGAAGGTGGATGTTGAAATAGCGATTGGTGGAATCGATTCATTGCTGAAAAGCCAGGAGCTTGTTTTTGGGTACGGGCTGTCTCTCAAGAACTGACCCCATGCAGAGCTGACGTGCGCAAGTTTTGTGAGCCTCACCCCAGGGATCATGGTCACGTACGCGTTTCTGAGATGGGCATTTGGTGTCTTCGGCAATCGCAAGGGCTTGCAAGTAGGAAGGCGAAAACATGAGTTGAGACATGCTTTGCGGTATTCAAATTGGAGCCAACCCAACGATCCGTGCTGATTTGGAATTAGGGATGTCGACCGTACTTTGACACTGTCAACACCTACTGATAGCGGTGTTCTAACCTATAAGGACCATGGTCTTCTGGTCTGTGGTGCAGATATTCTCCTACAAAAAGCAGCAACAGTTCTGAGAGGAGCTGATCTCCGTGAGTTTCAAGAAGACGTCGGTGACCTGCTAGATATACATATCGGAATACAGAGGCAAACCCAGGTTGTAAGCAGAATTGGATGGGTATATTCTCGATGGATCAAGTAAGAAACAGTATACTGGTTGCTCTTTTGTATATTAGGCTTAATAAGATGAATTCACATCCGCCTAACTTCTCAGAGTGTCACGGAATCTTTCAGCATATAAAACCTAAAACAAAAACTATAATGGTAATTTGCAAGGGATTTCCGTGGAGGTATATGCTTAAAGCACATCACCCATCAGTGACTAAGTATGGGCAAGGGTATGCTACGCTTAATTAAAAGGGACAATGGCTCTTTAATAAGTCCTAGAATTACGCACCCCCTAAATATCTGTAACTTAGATATAATATAATATATCATAAAGGTATCCATAGTAGTTATAGAGAGGTATTAATCCTAAGTATAAGCAAGGAGCTGTTCATTAGATAGAATATAAAATGAGTTATGTCCATAGATATCTACCTAGACTACTGGTGGAGCAAAAGCTGGAGATACGACACTAATCTGTATATGTAGGTTGTAGTCAGCAAGGTTATTTTCCCAGCTTCTGGAGAGGTAGGTACAAGGTACTATTACAACTTCCTCAGAATTGTTATAAACCCCTGGATAACCCTTCGGATGCCTCGCCTTGCTGCAGACTGACCACATAACATTAGCCTGTAATCTTTTACCCAATTTGTTGAATATTTTTGAAGTTATCTATCATTTCGGGCCTAGAGTTTCGGGACAGGATCGGTCGACTGCCAGGCAGGAATCTCTGATATTTCACATCAGGAATCTATCTTCCTAATTTCCTCAACGTCCGCCAATTCGACGAAAGTCCTGATACCTCTTGGTGGCTGCCTCTTCTCTGCGGACAATCACTAAGAGTAAGAAGGAAGGGCGGGGGAAGTACGATTATCTTGATAGGGGAGTTGTTCTACCGACGACTACGGAGGTTCATCCCCGTAATATCGATCCAAATCGTACCCAAATATCGGCTCTCTTGAAGTTGAATACATACCATTCCACGATACCACAATGGCTGGCACAAGAAATTATGACTTTCTGGTAAGCTTAAACCACTCTCTTGATCTGATTATCTGATAACTGAGAATCGCTTTGGTGGTCATAGATCAAGCTGTTGTTGATCGGGGACTCCGGCGTGGGGAAGTCATGCTGTCTTCTGCGATTCAGTGAGGATTCGTTCACCCCCTCATTCATCACTACGATTGGAATCGATTTTAAGATTCGCACAATTGAACTGGACGGTAAACGCGTGAAGCTTCAAATATGGGATACCGCAGGCCAGGAGCGATTTCGAACTATCACAACAGCGTATTACAGAGGCGCCATGGGAATACTTCTTGTATATGATGTCACGGATGAACGCTCCTTCCAAAGTACGTTTCTTCCACTCTCAAATAAATAGTGATTTGACGCTGACTGCTGCTGTGACTTTATCCAGATATACGTACGTGGTTTTCAAATGTTGAGCAACATGCAAGTGAAGGGGTACACAAAATCCTCATTGGTAACAAGTGCGACTGGGAGGAAAAGCGAGCCGTCTCCACAGAACAAGGCCAACAACTCGCTGATGAGCTAGGCATCCCATTTCTTGAGGTGTCAGCCAAGAACAACATCAACATCGAGAAAGCATTCTACAGCCTCGCCTCTGCCATCAAAAAGGGCATGGATACATCAAAGTCCGAACAAGTGGGGTCACAGGGGGTCAATATAGACCATCACGGATCGGGGACGTCTGGGAGTACTGGCGGTAAATGTTGTTAGGCATGCGCTTTCGTTCCTAACGTTCTTCGATCTGATTCGGGCTTCCTTTCATTTGGCGTCATCTTTCAACTCAACCCTTTACACAAGGGGACCTTTGTTCCTTTTACCTTACCTTCAGTTGTTAATCACTCCAGAGACCCCTCATGCAATCAAGACCTCGTTAAGTTGAAATCTGCCAATGTTATCATAGTCATCAACTGAGATATGCTAGGCGGTATTTCAATCCTCTGGTCTATTTGTTCTTTGATTCCTGGTGTTAAGAGTTACCAAATTCAGATTTCGCGGCACCGTTCATGTAAGTATGCCTAAGAAAATAACTACTTGAATTTCTGAGGTGAAAGCATAAACCAAGAGAATCTCCATTGACCGGGCTCCTTGATTGAAACAGTCTTTTGAGACAAAATCCGCAATCTACATTCATACAACCACAAGGCGGAGCCATTTTAAGCAGACCCACCTGTACCCAGAAGCATTACTTAATCACTAAATCTGTGTTCCATTCAGGAATATTAAAAGTTTTTATAATATATTGAGTAAAAAAGTTAAGGTAGTACATTTTGCATTATGCAGACTTTAACCAGTCAATCTAGTACCTCAAGGTGATTTCAATGATTTCAATGATTTTCTATTTTCTATTTTATTATTATTTCTTCTTTTCAGAACTATAGTATGTCTTACAGCAATTCCTTCGTTATGTGCACAATGACCATGTCAGGACTTACACTGAAAGGAAAAAGGAAGTTGAAGGAGTCCAATCTCATAATTTGCCTTCTTAGTCCCGTCCAGTCAACAGACATTGAATTCAGCGAAAGTTGGAGTGAGACTGATCTTCTTGTGAACACCCGGTTTTCTGTCACTTGAAATGTCTGACGCTCGTCTTTTTACTGTTCGACCGTTGTCAAAACAAGCGAGGAGTGACCATAAGGATGCGTTCCGTATCTATCTCTCATCATCGTCCCTAGCCGCGCTCAAACTACGAGCAGGAGACATTTGCAGTGTGAACACGCCCGACAGAAGCCCAAAAACCGCCGTAGCCTGGACCGCAGCCGAAAATATACAGAGTACCGTCGTGCAAACTTCGAGGACATTCCAAGATTGTTATGAAATAAAAGTTGGAGAAAAGATATCTATTAGCAGGGCCGAAGATCTATTGGAAGGAATAGATCGCGTCTATATTACAGAATGTTCTGATGTAGATCGCCTCACGAGATACGGCGGCCCCATTCCGCCCAAGGAAAAAGACCACTGGGCCTTTGCATTGCGGTTTCCTCTTTCGAGATGCGAACTTGTCGCTGTTGGTTTGACTTTCGATGTGGAGCTAATAGGGCAGCGAAGGAGTTTCAAAGTGGCCAATATTAAGACAGCAACTAGAAATCCTGCGAACACTCTATTTCGCTTTACCGACAGCTCGGAAATCAAGATCGACGATGAATTTGATGGCGTCCCAGAAGAGGCGCCATCGGCAATACAAGTAAAGCCTTCCGGTTTAGGAGGATTGTCTCGTCAGATCGACAGCATCAACGAGAGCCTTGCTGATTTCAACTCGGGGCAAAAATTCAGGATGCCATCTTTCTATGAGCACAGTCGGGGTATCCTACTATATGGGCCTAAGGGGACAGGGAAATCTGCCCTTCTGCACCAGATACAAGCTGCAGGTTGGAAAAAGACGTTTAGTCTCGGTTCATCCATGTTCAGCCGAAACATTGGTGATGCGGAAGCTAAGGTTCGCAATGTCTTTCAAGAGGCAGTACGTTGTCAGCCAAGTGCCATCATAATTGATCAGCTCGACTTCATTGCTCCTAAACGAGCGTCGCTAGACTCTCAATCTCTAACATCAGTACTATGTGAATGTCTAGATCTGGCCAAAAGTGCTCTTGTGCTAGTTGTGGCAGCAACTCGCCATCCTAACGACGTTGACGATACACTCAGGACACCCCACCGTCTAGCAATCGAGATTGAAATGCAGGTACCCACAGCGCAAGACCGAGCTGAAATCTTGCGGGCTATTTGTGGAAGCTCATCACGCCAATTGAGCGAGGCGCTCATCGACATGATTGCAGAGAAAACGCACGGCTATGTCGGAGCTGATTTGTTTGCGTTACTTCAGCTTGTATGCCGCAAGGCGCGGCAGAGGCAGTCATGTCAATCTCGTTCGCCGACCAGACCCTGCGACGTTACATCAACCCCTGACCCGGTGGCAGGTGTTGAGCACATCGAGAAGAATATGGTCGTTGATCTGGATATCGAGGAGTCGGATGTTATGTCAGCTCTACAGGAAACTCGTCCTACCGCCATGCGAGAAGTCTTCCTAGAAACACCAAAAGTCAGGTGGACAGATATTGGCGGGCAGCATGATATCAAGAAGCGTCTCCAAAAGGCTGTGGAAAGACCTCTTAAAGTGAGTAATGGCCCGTTAGCACTCTTGACTCGCTGACATTTCATGCAGTTCCCTGAGCGGATGAAACGACTCAATGTGAAGAGTAAAAAGGGGATACTTCTCTATGGTCCCCCGGGCTGCTCTAAGACGCTAATGGTGAAAGCACTTGCTACCGAAGCAGGTCTGAATTTTTTGGCAGTCAAGGGTGCTGAAATTTTGAGCATGTACGTCGGCGAGTCAGAACGAGCTCTGCGTGAAATTTTCCGAAAGGCACGATCTGCGAGGCCGAGTATCATATTTTTCGACGAGATCGATGCGATCGCTTCACGAAGAAATTCATCTCACGGAGGTGTCAATGTTCTCACCACTCTACTAAATGAAATGGATGGCATCGAGGAATTGAAAAATGTCTTGGTCATTGCTGCGACAAACAAGCCCGACGTGATTGATCCAGCCCTGATGCGCCCGGGTCGCCTGGATAACATTTTGTATATTGGCCTGCCAGATTTTGACGCGAGGAAGGAGATTCTGAACATCTGGTTTCGCAAGTCCGTGGTCCATCCCGAAGTGGACCTGGAGGAGTTAGCCGAACTCACTCATGGTTATTCAGGGGCGGAAATTGTGAGCATTTGCGAAACTGCAGGCGATGCAGCTCTAGATGAAGAAGAGGAGACTGGCCAAGAACAGGACGTGAAGTGGGAACATTTTACATATGCGCTTGAGCAAGTGCAGAGACAAATTACGGATGCTGTCCGCGAAGAATATGAGCGATGGGGAAAGTCTCAGGCCTCCATCAAATGATAATCTAGATAATCTATTTTTGTACCTATTTCATAACCAATATCATCATTGTATGTTAGTCTTAACGATGGCGCTGTTATACAAGCTATTCAGAGAAGAGGATAAAATGAAAAATAAGGTATAAGATTGAGCTAAATGGTTACAATGTGTGAACTTGGCCTTGCTTATATTATGGCTAGCTAATGGACAACCGCTTTAGTAGATAGATATGTAGGTATCTGACATCCTTCGCCTGACAACCCCTTCCGACATCCAATACTAAGTGTATGGTTTCCCTTGCAGTGGAATTGGGCCAACCTTCTCTCCCGATCGCAGCTTACTCTTCAAATTCCATTGTCCTGTTTAGGCATCGTCTTGCCGCGATCCATGCTCGTCTGTTCCAAGTGCTCTGTGTCTCTTCCACGTCATGTCTTCCAGGTCACCTCAAGGCCGATCGCCACGTCGCTCAATGCAGGAGATGGATCTCGAAGCACTCAAAGAACGATCACGGCGTTCGATGTCCCCTCGAGGAGGTTCAAGGTCCGTCAGCCGGAGTCCATCCGCTCAGCATGACAATGACCGCCACGACAAACGTTCTAAAAGCTGGTCTCGGTCTCCGTCGCGTTCTCGGACGTCATCCCTGAGCCGTAGTCGCAGCCCAAGCCGTGATTCTCGATGGTACAGAAATAGGAGCTACAGCCGTACGCCGAGTCCAAGCAGTGGGCTTCCAAGAAGTTCAAAGGTCTGTTCTTATTTTATCGTACCTATTCCATCTCCTTCTCTCCAAAACGTACTGACAGCCAACTTCATCGTAGATCATAGTTGAGAAATTGACCAAGAATGTCACCACATCCCACCTTAGAGAGATTTTTGGTTCATTTGGTGATATCAAGAGTCTTGAGCTTCCTATGAACCGAGCTTGTAAGTACCCAATTTCTGGACTGGTGGCATAAATGCGTATAAACTTACACCACCAGTCATGACAAATAGAGGCACGGCCTATATTCTTTATCACGATCCTGCAGATGCAGAAGCAGCGATATCGCACATGCACGAGGCCCAATTAGACGGTGCCGTTCTGAATGTCTCAATTGTGCTGCCTAGGAGAGCCTTTTCACGTTCGCCGCCACCAGCAGAGAATGGCCGGGGTGGCTCTGGCCGTCGCAGGTATGACTACAAAGAGCCTTCAGATCACCGGTCTTCGCGTATTCCTCCAAATGTACCTAGGACTACGCCCCCCAGAAAGCATGGCCGCTCGCGGCCCATGGAGCGACATGATTTATACCGACCGCGCTCTTTGTCGCGCTCGAGGTCACGGCGTCGCTCATTATCGTCTTTCTCAGATTCGCGCTCTCGATCCCCAGCAAGGAGAAGAGCGCACACCCGCGTGGACAGCCCTAGGTACCGTAAACGCCGCAGTCCAAGTTATAGCAGTTATGGTTACAGCAGTCATAGCGATGAAGATAGAAGCCGGAGCAGGAGCCGAGTTCGTCGCTTGGACGCCCCGAGGAAATAACCTGGAAAAACAAATATTGTGTACCATACCTCAGACCGTTATTGAAGTGCAGATGCATGGTCATGGCCATCCTACGCGCTTTATTAGGCCTAATGATAATAGTCTTCAGGAAAAGGCTTGATTTATTATGCTGAATGGAATGTGAACTGCTTTGCTATAATCAATGCATAATGAGCCTTACAACCAAGCAAGAATAAGTTGCTGTCATGAACAGCTGCACTAGTCTCAAATCGACATCGATGTGGGGATCAATTCTCTTTCAGAAAAAAGCACACCAGCCGATATACATGGCCGCTAGGTTTCTCTTGTCCGTTGCTTGTGTGATTAGTTCATCAACATGGCCATCCACTGATAAAGGAACTGACTCTCCGGGCAAAAGGCCTCGGAGTTTATTGCGAACATTCTCGAGCACCCCAGCGGGGGTATCTGGAACACTTGCATGGGTGCGACGCTTGAGACACGTCAGTATAGTAAAATCATCGCAGGCGAACTACTTACCTTCCTTCCGATGAAATCTGTAGTTGGATCGTGTAAGAATGTCTCCAGCACGGTCATAAGTGCATCCTCGTTCTGTCGCAGAAGGCGAAGGCTGATTTCACATGTCCTTCTGAACGGCCCTGTGAACAAGAGTTGAGCAAACGCTTCATCCTTGAGAGACTCAGGAAACAAACCATTATACCCATAGGCCCCAAAAGCATCGATCATGTTTTGGGTGAGACGGAATGGGACCAATTCGGGTTTTTCGAATGTTAAGCCCTGTTCCAATCAGTCTCGGGTGTCTGGACAACGTAAAGTGTTACCTTACCTTATCAAAAAGGCAATTGAAATCAACATGTATAACACCACCCGTGCCTTCCTCAAATAGGATATTTTCGCCATGCCGGTCCCCCAATCTGCGCGACTCTGGTGTCAGTATAATTGAAGATATGGAGACTGCAATCGAGGACAGCATACCCCAGGACATATCCGACCATTGACATAACTGCACAGGACCTGGTATAACGGAGCCGTGCTGCGAACCATGCCCCCGTCTCTGGGAACATTTCTACAAACCATTCGTGCAAAACTGGAGGGAATCTGGGAGAAATGAGCATCGATAACAAGGGTAAAAATTATTGGGAAGACTCACTTCATCAGAACTTTTGTTGTGAACAAGTGAAGTTTTGAGGCCTCTGAGCATGCCTCGTTAAGATAGTGTCTGATTTCGTTATACTGTTGCCGTGTTAGTTTAACATCAAGTCACGATTGGGTAGTTGGACTGTCCCATACGTTCGGCATGATACCTCTCTCTTTGAGGAGCTTGATAATGATCTCCCTCAATGTTCTCAGATTGTCAACCCACTCGATTAGACCACATTCCTCATTGAGCGGGGTAACGGCGTAAGTTTTGATATCTAAAATCCTTTAGCATTGGACAATAAGCTTTAGAAATGGCACTTACACATGCGCCGTTTGCTGGACTCCACATCCCTTTTTAAAAAGCGGTTAATCGTGTTATTGAATTCCATCAGACGCTGGTCCTTGCGGAGATCATCTTTAGGTTTGCAGAGGACGTTGTATATTTTCCCATCGGAGCCTCGAATGCTGATTTTCCGGGGCTTCTGCAGTGAGCTCAGAACTTGTGCATCGTCAAGTACGGCTGTGAAGCGTTAGATATCCCAACCAATTCTCTCAAATGGATCAGAGGCGTACCATCGATGGTCGTGGGGTCTCTGGGGAAAGCCCTGAATCCCTTCAAATATTCGGTCTCATGGCTGGCCGGAAGACTTGGAGTCAACATCGCCTGGAATGGAACAACAAGCCGACAAGGGGCAACTTTGTGGCTGAACCCAAGATGTCGGGCAAGTTGGATCCTTGACGCCTTCTCCTCAATTCGTGCCGTGCATAGTTTGAGCATCTCCTCTGTGAATTTCTGTCCTTGATTGATCATTCCCCGCATGTCCAAAGGTAATTCTGTTCTGGACTTTTTGTTTGCTTCCTTTGAAATCATTTAATATGTGACCTTAGTACGGCGATTTTGCGCACTTACAGTGATTTTATGAAGACAATTGATGCCCCTAGAAGCTCGATCCTTGGAGGAGGACTTGACAACTGCAAGGATTGTCCATAGCCCTTGCTGGGGAAAAGCATTGGCTACTTTCGCTACAATCCTGGTTAAAAGCTCGTAAACCGTGGCGTGGGGATGGCATATCCGAGCGACCACTTGAGGGAGGATAGTGAACAGCTGCTACTGTAAGCAGTCTCTCAGCAGAAACCAGGAGCGGATAAATGACTGACCAGCGCTGCGGGCATTCGGTTTAGATATTTTTTTAGCTGTGAGTGCATATCATCAAGAGTTTTTTTCCGTTGATTCAATGTGTGCGTCTGGAACTCTCTACGAAATTGTTCAGCGTCTTTCCGAGTGATAAAGTGGTTATGGGTAGGAGGGAAGTCAATACTCATTATCACCCCTTTTCGGGTCGAAAGGTTTATCAACCGTGGCAGCATGCTCTAACCAAAGAGTCAAAATTCTGGGCAGTGACTGGAAGACGTATTTGTTCCCGTGCGCCAACGAACGAAGATAGTTATCAATGACGAGTTTTGAGGCTTCACCGCTTAAGCTAGAAATATTCTTTAGTCATAGTGTTGGAGACCAGAGAAATACACTTACTATATCTGAGCCTCTTTTCCTAAGGGTTTGGCCTTCTCAGACTCCAGGATCTTGTCGTAATGTTTGCCCAGGTAGTAGTGTGCCTTTTCCCACCTGTTGCCCTGTCAGTCTATGTGATAATCCTCAATATGGTGCCGTCATGCCTTGAGTGAAGTTTGATCGCTTCTCGGTACCTCTGTACGATCACGTCGGATTGGGTCTGACCCGCTCGGTCCGTCCATTTCGCTAGTAAAAGATGGGCCTGGGGTATATTAGTTGCTCCATGCCATTTCTCAGAGGATAAGCAATGGTACGTACCCTAGCAGCAATCAAGTTCTGTTGCTTTTCGCTTTTCAACCCACTGGATGAGGACGTGCCTGAGGCAAATTCATCTGCAGCTATTGCACCCTCTAACGTTTGTATGGCTTTTCGATGATGACCATCTTTCCAAAGTAGACGGGCGTGTTCAATAGTAGCTGACCTATCTTTCAAGCGAGCTGCACGAAGCATTGAGTGATAGGCCTGATTGGTGTAATTGCCCTTTCGCGACAGACGTGCACTAGTAAGCCAGGAACCAGCGATATCAGACTCCATGAAACCATGCCTATGAGACTCATGTCAGCATCCCTTCAGATGAACATTTATGGAGAAATGAATCCCACGTCAATTCCATTGTGGCCCTTCTCAATCCAAGCAGATATTGCTTGTCAGCTATGTATCCCCCAAGGACGTCAAGTCGCCGATTTAGTACATCTTGTATACAAGTGAGCGAGCTGTTTTCGGCGCCCTCACAGTCGGAAATAAGTTCCATTTCAGTCAAGGCATGCAGCTTGAGGATGCTGTCATGGCAAGATTGCAGGGAAGTAACAGAGTTCACAGTCAGCGATTTGGCGACACTGAGCTGCAGATCATGAATGATGTTACGGAATTCAGCCTTGTTTCCAAGTCGAAGTGCACAAAGAGCCGATCCGACCCCGATATTGAAGTCTCCAGTATTTTCCGGTGAGCGCATTTGGAGGTAACTGCGAAGCTTATCCCAATTTCCTGTGATCCAGGACGCTTCCACGGCAAAGGGAAGAAATCTCGATGTTGAGCCTGCTGAGTTGAGTGTGTCAACTCTAGCAATAATGGCATCTGAACCGGATTAGTTATCGCCAACATTGATGGCAGCTCTTTATTGGGAGATTACCTTGTTGCCCTGACTCTCGAAGACACCTAAGAAGATTCCACTGTGCATCAACATTGTCGGGTTCTTTTTCGACTTGCAGTTCGTACCAACTTTGCGCAGTAACCCATCTGCCTGCTTTGCGGTGTTCGAGGACCTGCTGGTCAATGTTCAGCATGTGCAAATGATTCGAAATGCCCTCAATACCATCGGGCTCGTCAATTTGACTGTAAATCACTTGGAGATGTTGGTAGAGAAGCTCAGCGCTTGTGTGGTCATTCTTGTCGGATTGACTCTTGAACCGGCGGATATACTGTTCCCAATGGAATAAGGCCCTGGAGAATGATTTGCATTCGACCGCTCTTTTCGAAATGACTTCTGGAGGTATTGAGGTCAAGAAGGTTTCCACAGCTTTGACCTGAGATGAATACGTTTCGGATAATGAATCTCGATGAGAATCCTTGTGAGAACGGCCAGTATGAGATGCATGATTCTTGAGGCCGTTGAGGAGCTTCTTTTTCCCCTGTAGCCACCTTGAAAGGTAGTCCAAAATTTCAAAGACGCTCTGTCCTATTGTCAGAAGCGGGAAACTCAAGTATGTACAGACCTTATGGATACAAAAGGGAACGCTCACCTGACTGCATAGTATGATGGCTTCATGGACCCGATTACTTGCTTCAGGAAGCGGATGGGAGAGTATGGTTGTGAGCTCACTTTGCAGGTCCAGCCTCTCCTCCTGGGTTCCACCAACTATACGATTTAGTACGGCGAATGGTAGGAGAAAGCTGGCGATTGAAATGTCTTGACCCTTGACAATACGACTGCAAACGCTAAAAATAAGCTGCGCGTTGTCACCGCTTCCTCTTTGCAGCAGATCCTGCACAAAACTTCGCAACCAGTCGCCATGTGTCAGCTCTGTGGAAAATATCGGAAACTTGCAATGCGATCTTATGGCACCGACTGTGACCGTATACTTAGATGTGAGAAAAGGGGTCAAAGTATTGCGCACAGTCTCAGGTAATTCTGACCAACGACGGTACTTTTCATCCGCTTGAATATCTCGGGAGCGCTGGGTGACGGCCGAATCAAGGTTGCAGAGTCTGAGCAGGTTCTGCATAGCGTAGGCAAGAAAACCTTGGGCCCTCGTATTGGAGGCCGACAGAAAGGCTTGAACCAGCACATGTTGAAGGAAAAAAAGTACAAAATCAAAGGTCTCTTCCATTCTGTCGAAGTTTGATAAAACGAGAATATCCTTTTTATCTTTGACCGGATCAACTCGATTTGGATCCAGACAGCCTACAAGACCCAGACATTGAGCCGAAAGAAG